TAAGCTCTAAAAGACTTTCATTAAGTGTTAGCTTAATTTTTATGTATTTTTAAAATTTCTGATAGAGATTGATAACTTAGTTATAAATGAAGAAGCCTGCTTTTCCATTTCCTGATCCTGTTCTTAGAAACTTTTGAATTTTATTTTATTTTCACCAAAAAGACCTCAAGGCATATTCCTGATATAGATGCCATAAATGATTTAAATGTCTGCCAAGTTGATAGCAACTGAAGGTAGGATTCTGTCGTGGAAAATAAGAAGCAAACTCAGCTGTAAGCATAGCAAACAGGCTTATAATTAAGCATCCAGGTCTACTATTAATAGGAAGCTCACAGTTCAAATTATCTGTGTCAATTAACACGTGTTACTCTGACAATTTCATGTACTATATTACTATCTGGCCTATTTTTCTGCCTGTATTGGAGTAGTCTTAATGCACTTTTATAACCTTCACTGGATATTTTTGGGGCAGGGAAAAAAAACTACCTTCCGTCCAGGAAGCTATTGTAGTACCAAGTGAAACCAAATTTATCTTGTGGGACTTGCTCTGTATATAACCATGGCTTGTAATAATGCTCTTTTGGGAACGATACTTTTGTACGTGAAAGGTGATAGTTAAAACCTGATTGTTTTTAAAGGACTGTGGAATAAAAGAAGATGAACTGCAGGCTATCCTCAATTATCTGCTCACGATACATGAGGTAATTTTTAATTTGGGGGTATATGGAGGGACAGAGGTACTACTTCTGCTGTTTATGACCACAAAATATTAGAATATTTTCAAATATTACCTTCTTTATGCCACAAGATGGCTCTGTAGAGGAAGTAGCAAATGTTATCCAACTCTGTAGTGTAGTGTGCTGAATTGCCAATATTCTTGCAGTGATTTAAGCACTATGTTCAATGTTAGATTGAAGTTCATTAAGCCAGTAAGTCAAGATGGTTTCTTGTGTTGTTCAGCAAACTGATTTACCAACCAGAAAAACAGATGGTGAGACTGACTTTAAAAAAAAAAAGACAAAACCTTGTTTTATGCTGCCTAAGTAATATTTTGTTTTGTGTTTCTCTCCTTTTTATTTTGCTTCTTAAATAAAGCAATAAAATTGAAGACATGCATTAAAAAATAAAGATGTATGTTAATGGCATCTAAGAGAAGCATATAAACTTAATTGGGAGAAAATGTTGGTTACCACTGATACATCTGCATCTTCATATTTTAGCACCAGGAAAAGGCACTTTATGCCAGATGCAACATCAAAGACAAGGGAAATGGGGACGTAAATCTAACTGATCTCATCTCTGTAAGGGTGCTTGAAATGGGTAAAATAAGGAATTAATTGAACTTCACTTCAAGCGCTATGGATTTTTTTATTTTTTTTTGTTTACACCTATAATTTCCTTTTGTTCTCTGTGCTGGTTACTACAACTTGATAGTAGCATGGTCAAGCAATTTAAGTTATTCTATTTTATAGGGAGGTGTAAAAAATAGAACTCTTGGTAACATTAAAGAATAAACCAAAATAGCAGAAGCTTTATATAGCCTTCAAATGAGGAGGTGGTATTTTAACTATCTTAGCATGGTTTGCATGTTGCAAAGTGGTCGTTTGTTTGTTTTAAATAAGCTTTCATTTTAATATTATGAAGACTGGGAAAAGAAGACAGTTGCTTTTTTCTGCTTCCTAGGTTATTTTTAGTCGTAATTAACTTGGAACAAATTAATAACCAGTAGTTTAGAGTGCTTTAGGCTCTTTACTGAGCAGCTTGAATTACCAGTTTTAAATATTGCATGTGGCAGGTGATGGCTTTTATGTTTTGTTTTCTTTTTTTTCTGGGGTGCACGTTTGTTGTTAGAGATTTTGCATTAAACACCACCCTGTGACCTAGAAAATGTGCAGCAGTTTATTTCTAGCTCCTGTGCAGTAAAAGAGGGGGAAATACACATGCAAACAGATGAGCATGTGTGTGGAAGGAAATGGCATAGTCCAGTAGTCCCTTCCCTGTCAAAGGCTTATGTCCCAGACACACATGTATCACTTTTCACTCTTAAAAAAAACAGGAGGGGTTTTTTGGTAATATTTTCTCCTGCACTAGCCTTTCAGATCTGTAGCTGTTTTGATCCTGGCCTAATTGTTTTGGTCCTTGGTTTGCTATTGCTCTCCAGATCGTTTTGAAATATTTTATAGTGGTTCTTTTAAGCAAAACAATGCTCTACATGCATTTTTAAATTCAAATTTGTAACTTTTATTCAACAGGATGACAATCTAATGGATGTCTTGCAGTTGCTTGTTGCTCTGATGTCAGAGCATCCCGGTTCTATGATCCCTGCTTTTGATCAGAGGAATGGATTACAGTAAGTTTGAATTTTGTAAGTGGGCAAAAGGAAATAGTATTTTGATCAAACTGTTGCTTGCTAGAATTCCCATGAAATCTGAAAGGTCCTCGTCAGTGCTTGTGTTGCAGTCTTAGACTCCTCATCTTGGGAGGTTCTAGTGTCCAGGTGTTCTTTTGACAAGAGGTGATGTTGGATTTAGTATCACTGAGTTCTTTTTTTGTTTTCAGTGCTTCCAAGCTGTCTGTCCTGCTTAAACAGGTAGTGATCAATTTGAGCTAGTCTATACATGGATGTTAAATCTTCATCTACTAGCACTTAGTCTTTAGCCTCCAATTCTTACATGTGTTATTGAGCTGAAAGTGTGCTGACAAAAATTGGTTCAGGTATCTTCTGATCTTTGTTAGCTTTCTTTTTTTTTTTTAATGCGTAAAGCATTATGGGACTTTTCCAGAAAAAAAACCCTTTTATTTGTTTAAATTTAGCACTTGATGTGGATTGCTCACAATCTTTTTTTCCAAACAACTGAAAAATATTGTTTAACACTATTGTGAGAGAAAAGCAGGGAAAGTAGCAAGTTCTACTAACAGTAAAAAGCACAAGAGAAGATCTGCTAGAAAGCGACTAAGTTATGACTGATTTTTCTGCTGTGGCTCTCAGAGGGTGGTCGCATTATTGAACTTTTCTAATTTAAAATGAACCTGGCTGGACATAGGGGGGAAAAAATTGAACAGGCAAACGAATGTAAGAACTATTCCTAGAAGGGTATGTGGGCTAGTAATTCTCTTGCTGTGTAAAGGCAGAGTCTCATTTCATACATTTTGTTGCACCTATTGGTTAACCCCTATTTGTACATATATTTCTTTTTTCAGTTGTCCTTCCTCAAGAGACAACATTCAGGCACATTCATAATTGTTTTCTCCCCTTCCAGTGATAGGCTGACTTTTTTTTTTTTTACCCATTTTCTTCAGCTCTGACTTCATTTGTATGGTAATGTATTATGCTATGGGAAACTAGTAAAAACTCTAAATAATAAAGTATTTGAATGTCATGTTGGGTCTCCATTGCAGTATGTTTGTTTTTATTTAACAACTGGCAGTAGATATTTTCTTTTTCTATTAACTAGTGTATGGGCAAGTTAGTGTGAATAGTGAGTCCACAGTGAGAAATCACTTGGTTTCCCTGTCTCATTTGTTAGATTCCTTGCTCCTGTATTGTCTCCAGTCGCTTGACTGGTTGTTTGCGTGCTTATTGATCCATCTACCTTTTGCAATTAAAACACCATGTTCTTGAAACTTAAACATTTTACAAAACATTATGAAAATTTGGAGTTTTTAATAATTAAAATTTTAGAAGTAACCAATCTAATGAAGAAATAAGAAATGTAAGGAAATCAGTTTTCCTGTGCAATTAGATGACCTTCATACTATCCTGTTAAGACAAGCAGGGAAATGGGTTGTATTGCTTGGATGAACACTCTGTGGTCAGCTTGCTCATTTGTTTGATTCTGCAGTTGCTGTGGCGGCAGCTTTCTCCAGCATAACTTTTGTTAGAGATAACTATTTTTTAATCGTTCTTGGGTTTTCATCTAAATTCTAGTATAGAACGAGATTTTATTTGTCTTAGTTTAGGTGTCCTGGGTAATACTTTTAGGTATGTAAAAGGAATATATGACTAGTCATGAGTGCTCAGTAATGTGTAGATAAAGCCTATAAACTTGAATAAGGAATTTGAACTCAGTACAACTGTTTGTTCTAAAATGCATTGGATATCTTTGGAAAGACTCCAGAACAATAGTTGGGTTCTTTGTTTCCCCCCACCCCTCCCTAATAAAGTGATACAAATTTCCTCAACAATTTACTTGGAAAATATTCACAGTAAAGACTGAGTAAGACACTGTGCCTTCTGTTCCAGTATAATTTCCTGGAGTGTTAGGAGATTAATATTTTCTTTTTTCAGAGGGAACTTAGTAGTCCATGTAGGTATAAGCCAAATCATATTTCATAAGTTCAGAGTCTCGTCCAATACCATGAACTATAGTCCAACTAAAATCAGATAATGACATGGTGATAAGTACTTCCTTCACTGTCTAAAAAGTTAACACGGAATGAAATTAGATGTGACTGATCACTACATTTAGATGTCGTATGTTTTTATGGGAGATTTACAAGGATCAACTGTTGCATTTGTTATTCTTTGCATTGGTAGAAGGCCAATATTAGAGTTTTTCACAGTAGAAGCAAACCTAATTTAATAAAAGATTAAGCTTTAATTAGTAAAAGCAGCTAATCCTGGTAGTCATTCCAAAAACTGCTTTGTATTTCAACTATTTTAGGAAGCCTTATGTTTTCTCCACTTAGGGTTGTCTACAAGCTTTTAGCATCAAAAAGTGAAGGCATCAGGGTGCAAGCTCTGAAAGTGATGGGATATTTCTTAAAGCATCTTGCTCCAAAGTAAGTACTGGTTTAGGTCTTGAAACATGCCTCTGGCCTCCGCCCCCCCAACCAGAATACAAAAAGATAAGTTGTGACACATCTGTGTCATATATTATTTTGTGTGTATGTACACACACATGTATGTAAAAAAGCTATATTGGAGGTTAATCCCATATATTATTTTGTGTGTATGTTATTTGGTGTGTATGTACACACACATCTATGTAAAAAAGCTATATTGGAGGTTAATCAGTAAATATGCTTGACTGAATAGGAATTACTGTTCTTCAAGTATCCTTCAATTTATTTGTCATTAATACATTTCTCATGTGGTGGCATTAGTTGTTATTGGCAACTAGTGTCTGGACATTATAATTTCCTTGCCAAGTTCAGTTAACACTTACTTGCAGTGTGGCTGTCTGCATTTTAAAGTGGTCTTTTCCCATAATTCCACTGAAATTGTTAGCAAGAATTAGACTGGTGAAATCAAACCCTGTGTTACTTGCCAAGAACTAGCTTTAAGATGTCTCAAGTTGACCATGATAGTTGGTAACTATTGAGATCGCTGTCCATGGTTAAAATGTATTTTTGAGTGAAATGAGGACAAAGATGTTCTTTCCTTAGTGTTTAACTAGAAATCCCGAAGGGTATGTTTCAGCTTTTTGGGCCCCTGGGTGAGCAGACCGAATTTATGGAAGAAAGTTAGCTGTCTTCTGTCTGTCTTCAGGGAATGACTTGTCCTTTCAGGATTTGAATCCTTGCCCTTTTTCTTAACAAAAAGTGAAAGACTTAAGGAACAAAAAAGAAAAAGATGTTTCCAGTGATTTTATATTTCTTGAGGCACACTTTTTAAACTCTTTTTTTTTTTTTTCCCTAAAGCAAGTTGAATACGTGAGTTTATTTTGTGCTTCTGTACTATTTTAGGAGAAAAGCTGAAGTCATGCTTGGACACGGATTGTTCTCTTTGTTGGCTGAAAGGCTGATGCTTCAGACAAGCTTAATCACCATGACCACATACAATGTCCTCTTTGAGGTAGTAATATACTGTAGTTAGGATCCAATCTTCCTAATTACTTGTAAGACATTGTTAGAAAATTGCTTACATATTTGTGCTGATATGTTCCAGATGACATTAAACCTTAGTGTGATGTAGCCAAGTGCTGCTTTTTTTTTTTCCAAAGCTCACTACTTGAGTTTTTTTTCGCCCTTAACTTGGTTGTGCCCATTATGAACAATTGCAGATAATGAGTAAGATGAATAGCTCGAGCAGACACTCATATGTATGTGGAATTTTATTATGGTGATGATCTTGCTTTATGATGATTGTGTGGGTTAGATTCAGGTTTCTCTTCCAGTATATTTAAAATAACAGTTGGGTACTTAAGAGAACACACAAAAAAGTAAAATTTTAGGAACAGAATGAAAGAAATTGTCAAGAAAGAGATCTAGTGGGTTTTTTGGATAATTTTTAGAACCACGGTGAAATGATGATGGTGCAATATGAAGGAGGTATCCAACCGTTTTTCATAAGCTCTCTTTATGGACGTTGATATGGTATCTTCTTTCTTGCTAGATTCTGACTGAACAGATTTGCACTCAAGTGATACATAAACAACATCCGGACCCAGATTCAACAGTGAAGATACAAAATCCTCGTAAGAATCATATACATTTTTAAGTGTTACCATAAGAAAAGTCTGCTCTAAAAACACATGAGAAAGCTTACTAATTACGTCCACCAGTCTTAATTCTGATCTCAGTTTTACATCGTCGTTCATACAGAAGGAAAGATCAAGTGCATTTGGTTGGAGTTATTTAGGAAGTATGTCTCTGAAGCTTTTTGAAAGATGTCTTATGTGTCTAAATGTGTATGTAGTTTGCAACTGACCCTTTTTGGCTGTGCAGTCATGTTATGAAATGGTTTTTCAAGACTTGCATGCACAGGAGACTTGGATTTCATACATGTTAAACTTCCAGCACAATTCTGATTGCATTATTTAGTGATGTCAGCCTAAATTACCTGGAATATGGAAACAGCCTTCATCTTAAATTACCTCTGGTACAGCAACGCTAGATGGAAAGTAGGAGAAGTGTATCTGCTCACTGTTTCAGTTAGCTTCCTTCGTGGAAAATATCTTGATATGAAACTTTAGATGTCTTTTGAACGAAGAGAAAATACTGATTACCTTTCCTGAATTGTATGCATTATTCATGTGCTCAGTATATAGTACAATGGACTTAGGATAGCTTTGGGAGTTCCTTTTTTCTGGAGAAATAATAGATTTTTCACTTTTGTAGCTGCTTTGTAATTAAATGTTGGTCATAGTTATGGGTTTGCATCAGGTGGAAAGTGGGAAAAGAGAAATGATAATAAAGCAGATAGAGATCTGGTTGCAGTATGCCATTTACCTTCTGGTAAATCTGTATGAAGCAAGAGATAGGAGGAGAATTCTGTTGCTTTCTCAAGATTTTTGAAGTTGGCAGTCACTGCTGGGATTAATACAGATTATTTGTAGTGTGAAGTATGAGTCTGGAATGATCTAGGTTTGGTAGGAGGAGTAGCTTCTAGAGTCCCTTTTTACAATCAGTGCCAATATTATCAAAGAAGGAATTTTCTCTTTTTAAAGAAATTGTACAAGGTGAAGAAACTATCACAGTGACTGTTCAAATTACACCCTGATTTATTTACAAAGTTAACTTCTTTTAAAGTGACAAGAACAGTGACTGCCCCACTGCTTCAAAAGTGGAGTGTGCCCACAATTTTGACTGTCTTCTAAAAGTATAGAAAACATTATACTCAGAGATTAAATTTTATATCAGGAAGGTTTTGTCCCCTTTCTCAAACTTTTTTTTCTTTAACAGAAATCGTTAAGAATAATCAGAAGTTGTTTGCATTGTTTGAAAATTCAGTATTATTAAGGGACACCAAAATCTATGCATTTTTCTCATATACTGACTTTATAACTCAGGTATTGTATTATGTGAACTTAGAAAAAGGTTTCAACAGATTCTGATAGCTTGTCATTTGTCATGCAGTAACATTTGTGTTGCTTAAACCTGATAATTCAAAAAAACCACAGAATAATTTAGCTTGGATTCTGTTTTCTTCAGCTACATTGACCTGCAAATTGCCATGACAGTGAGCAGGTTTGAGAAGTCTTGGAAGAAGGGATTTGTAGTAGTTAAACCTTCTGCTCAAATAGAGATGTGCTTTTTCTTGGTGTAAAACTTTATGTAGCGTCGCTTTTCTTGTACAAACAGTACTGGAAGATGTCCTGTTCTTAATGCTGCGCTTAGTACTAATATTTTGTTGAACCGTTCTACAGAGATTTTGAAGGTTATTGCAACCCTGCTACGTAATTCTCCACAGTGCCCAGAAACTCTGGAGGTTCGGCGAGCCTTTCTCTCGGATATGATTAAACTTTTTAATAACAGCAGAGAAAATAGGAGGTAAGATATCTTGCTATATGCACATGTATACAAAGTAAGTAACAAGGTCTTCTAGTAAATCAGACTCATTAAGCAGATACAGCTTCATTGCTGTTCAGCAAGTTCTGTACTCTAGTACACTCTTCAATATGTAAAATTAGGGAAGTTTGCACACAGCAGTTGTTCTAAACATATTGAATTCCTAACTTGGCTGATCTATATTGCTGAGATATGTTTTGAAATTTTATCAAATATCATGTGTGTGTTTTGCAGGAGTTTGTTGCAGTGCTCTGTCTGGCAGGAGTGGATGCTTTCCCTTTGCTGTTTTAATCCGAAGACTTCTGAGGAACAGAAGATAACCGAGATGGTGTATACCATATTTCGAATTTTGCTCTACCATGCAATCAAATATGAGTGGGGTGGCTGGCGTGTTTGGGTGGATACACTGTCGATCACACATTCAAAGGTGAGCATTTGACGTAGTTGGGAGATTTTGTTACACTGCATAGTTAGATTTAGAGCCTCAAAGTTCTGGATTGTACAGTCTTGAAGTGAAGGTCAGTAGTTGAATAAAAGCCCAGTGTTTCTATCTGTCACTGGGCATGACTTTCAAATACTTGACAATTAAATGTTAATTTTGTTGTTTGAACACTTACATCTTTTTTGTTACTCAAATTGCTAGGATTTTTAGTTTATACTGAAAATGGCATATGTTTTCGAAAACGTCATAATCAAATTTCGCGAACATTTCTGAGGAATTGCAGTGCTGGTTTTGGTTTTTGGGAATGGCATGAGCACAAGGTGGCGCACCATATCTATTCATAACCAAAAATCCCTTTCAGTAACATCAAAAGGCTGTGTAAACCAAACCAGTAAAAATAAAAGAAATCAAAGTTAAGACAGATGCTTCAGCTGTTAAGCTGTCATGGAATATGGGGTGAGAATGCAAATCCCTGCAGCATGAATAACACTATTAGCCTTCATTATTCTTCTGTCTGATTTTTTTTGTTGTTACAACCAGAATTATATCAGGAAAGTTATTAGTGGATCTTTGAACAAGGCATACTCGTACAAGAGATGACTGCTCTGCCTGTTTCTGAACAAAAGAGTGAGGCCAGTGTGGGCCTCAATTATTTTTTTTTATCAGAAATATTTACTTAAGATCAATTAATTCATAACTTATATATTTTCTAAATGTGTGCAACTTAACCGTGCAAAGAAGAGTGTATGAGAATCTTAAAGATCGTTTTATTATTCTGAGGGATTGTTAGCATTTCTGAGGTCCTTAGTTTTGTATGTGTGTTTTTTTTTTTTCTCAAAGTCAGTCTGCAGACATCAAGAATACTGTTGTGGGACTGTTTATTTATTGCATACGTAGCTCAACAGAGGATTATTGGGCTGTGGGGGGTCAAATGTAGAAATCTATGTAATAAAAGCGTGTGAAATAATACAGTTAAATTGTCACTTAGCTAACTGGGTTCTAGGTGCCAAGAATCTAGGGCCAAATTTTAACCCTTGCAGAGGTCATATTTGAGTTGTTGAAGTATCCTTAATCTTCTTTTGTCAGCTCTGTGGTCTTCAAAAAAATCTATTTCTTCTTTTTCCACCAAGATGCAGAGAGTGTGGGTGGAGCAGATTGTACAATGGCAAGCTGTAGGCAGAGTGAAGATCCCTCATGTGCTTTTGTAGAAATACAAGCATAATGTAAAGCATTTCTGGGATTGCTGGGAGTTGCTGGGGAACCCTCCCTGGGGAGGATGGAGAGGTAAAGGAAGACCACCTTTCTGCCTCTGTTATCCAGAGCTTTAGGGTACTGAATTTAAAAATTATCATGCACGTTATCTCATAAGCCATAGTTCTTAGACTCTTTTTATAAGTTGTGAAATAGTGTCAAGTAGGAAATCTTGACAGCTTCTGTGTCAAAATGGTTATATGGAGTTTTGGTCTTTATCTTCAGTGACTTAACGTGGCTAATCAGTTGTCTAGAGTTCATAGAGGAAAAATCAAGATGTTCTTGTGATGCCATGGCCAAATGTTAGGAAAAATACCCTGGTTTTAGAAAATACTAAAAAACCAAAGGTACAGGTAATGTTACTTTTGGTTTTATTTTTTTCTAAAGGCTGTGTGTTTTTGTGCAATACCATAGTGAATGAGAATATGATGTGCTTTGCTCTTGTGTTTCTCATTTTCAGTTCTTGGCATGCTGGCATAGTGAGGTAACCTTGGTTGTAAAAGTATCTTCCTGTATTCATTTTCCCAAGTCTGACTCTGTTGGCTTTCCGGTCAATGTGTAAGGAGTGTTTGTTCTTCCAGCCTGCTTCAGAGGAAGTTGAACAATGGCAAGGTTAGAAGTGTGTGAGTGCAGGCAGAGCTCGCAGCAGAGTGGTGGTGTAATTTGGAAGGAATTCTAAAGCAGTTCAGTTTGTTTGGACATGGGTGCTAATATTATCCAGTTCCAGAAGCCTAAATGAAAATGATTAAACAAAAGCACCCAGAAACTAACTTAATAATAGCGGTATGAACGAAAACACAATACTCAAGGATTATAAACTGGATTTTTTCACCTTTGTTACGTATTTGCCATTTGAACTTTTTAATGAATAATGTATGCAATTCATGCAACTAGCAACATAAAGCTAGATGATCTCTCATAGCTGTCTTTTAATTACATAAGCATAAACTAGGATAAATCACAAAAGCTCTTTGTGGCAAAACCTTACTGATCGCTTGAAAATGTCCTTGTTAACTGATATTAGTATCTAATGGTAATGAATTTTTAATCCCTCTAATTTTACTTATTTTGAATGTTCTTGTAACCTGTTATACTAACATTGAGATTGATACAGGTCCACCCATAACATAGTGTAGGCATAATTCAGTGGGCAAATTGTTCGATGCTAAGTGCATCTTGGATGTTTTTGTTTTCTAGCATGCTTTCAAAGCAATGTGGGAATTATGGGAACAAAAATATTTCCTTAACATTGCCAAGAGAATAACCAATTTGTGTTTTTATTATTTCATCTCTAATTGTATTGGGTTACTGCTTATTTTTCCTTTTTACAACCCCTTGCGCCATTCTGCCTCTAATTTATAACACCATTCTATGATAAAGAACTAGTATATAAAGGACTAGTGTTACAGAATTGGATAGGTTTTGCAGAGCTACACATCAAGATACATGCAGCTGCTATAAAAAGCCAAAGAAACTCAATTGCAATTTTATTGTCCAGTTTGATAGATTTCCTGCCACCTTTGTAGCAGGGAAGCTGTTTGTCACTGTAACCCTCTCCTCCAACAGCTGCACAACGTTTTATAAGCAGCAGCGGCTTTTCTAGCATAATTGCCCTACGTTGGTTTCCTTGCACTCAGAATTTAGAAGGTGTGTGTAACCTTTTTAAAGCCAAATTTCTTAGAATTACTCACGGTTCTTTGCTCATTTCCATGTTATATTTTTTAATGTTTTCCATATATTAACAGAGTGTATACAAATGCGTTTAATGTGGCTTCTAATTCAATAAAAATGTTAATGAAAAAATTAAATCACAGCTTGGTTTGTTCTAATCGGCCGGTGCTGAATTTATGAAAGCATCTAAGAACAACTGTTTTTTAAACATTGTAACCATGATAGCTGGGCCTTAGATTTTATCTGTCTAATCATGTTACTTTGGAAAAAGGACCAATGATTTTGTGGTTCATAATAGGAACCAAGTAGAGAATGGTGGACGACTTGCCTTTTTGACCTTTCAGCTTCCCCGAGTTTTAAAAGAATATAATGGTTTACACAGTGTAACACATTCCTAAATTATCTCAGTGTTTTAAACTACTGGGAAGAACCAACATTTGCTTCTTTCAGGCCCTTAAAAATATTTTACTACTTAAAAGTTGCTTTGTGTTGCCATGTGATTTGAGTAAATTCTGTTTATTTTTTTTAGTAGGTCAAGAAATTTTCATTAAGACTGAGAAATGTCAATACGTACTAGCTACGGTTTTATTGCTGCATAAGTGGAAAAAATTTGTTCACTGATCTAAATGGGAAGAAGTGTAATCTTAAAACATTAGTACTATGACTTTACCATACAATGTACTTCTTAAATAATTGTTACTTTTCAGTCTAAAGGAAGTACAGTTGTAATAAACATTGGTGAACATTAAGTAAATTTATATGTTCTCTGGTACCCCACTCATTTAATGCAGAAGAAAAAAAGGTGTCCAAAGAGTTTACCTGTGCTATGTTTGTGTGATTTTCATCACTGTGTCAGATGAGGAAAAAGTGGCAAAAATTAGGTGGTGGAGGAGTTAATCTGTTGTGGCAATTTAAAAACTAATTTGCAGAGAAGTGAGCATGGCTCAGTAGTTTTAGAAACTAACAGGCCATCGGGATCTCTTTGGTCCAAATCCCGTTTGCATTCATGAGTTATTGAGGACAGTTTTGTCTCCATTTTTTTCTTGCTATTTTGAAGAAGGTAGGTTCTCCTGCAGTGGGATGTGCAGCATTTTTAGCTCTAATTTGGAAGGTTTCAGATGTTCTTCAATCCGCTGAAAAGTGAGTCTGCATTGCCCTGGGGGAAGCAGAGGTAGCTAGCTGAGAGGGTTTTTGGTTTCCAGTTGAGAGATACCCACTGTATCAATGGAGCAAAGCTGGAGGAGATGCCAGTTAAGTAGCATACTTGAAATGCGTAAACTTGGGCCTCATTCTTATGGTATAAATAGTTATTTATATAGAATCATTGCTTATTCTAGACATAAATGATTCTCAGGGTGGTCACCTGGCTTACAGAGAGCAGAAAGAACTTGGAGACTAGAATGGGCAGCCTCCTTTGAGGTTGTGTAACCCCCAAGATGTGTGGTTAAGATGCAATCTGCCACCTTTTCCAAGTGTTTCCTTGCAGTAGGTGTGTGGGAAGGCTTTTCTTAAGGCCTCCAAAGAGAAGAAAGTAATTTCATTATTCAGCAGGCAGAATAGCTAGGAAGAGACATCTGAACCACTGGTGGGCTCTTATGCATGCAGCGTGTGTGGTTGGGGGGAGCTCCTCCATCTCGTTAGTCACTCAGTTTGAGCGAATGGAAAGTCATGGATAAAGCTGCAGGAGGCTAAAATTTGACTAACTGAAAGAAAAACATGAAATGGGGGGTGGGAATAGAGTGAGCAAGGTAGGCTGAGAATTTATGAGGCAAGAAAGAAGAGGGTATATGAAGCAGCACAGAAGCCCTAAAAGAAGAGTGTAATAGAGATGTGCTGCTGGTTGAGAAGTGCCAGAGGTCTCAAAGAGAAGAAAAGGGGAAGGAACTGATGCGTAAAGAGGCAGATAGCTATGAGATAGCCTTCCTAAGCAAAGGTGACCTCAAGAGGGAACGGCTTCTCGTTTGTGTAACTTAGTATAAAAATTATTGGAAGATGAGACCTGTGTCTTCAGCCTCAAGAATTGTTAGTGGCCTCCTTTGCAGAGTTTGAGGCAAACATCCTCT